TCTGGTAGGGCAGCTTCGCGTCCTGCATCGCCGGCATGAACGGCGTCTTCCGGAGCGCGTCGCCGAGCGCGCCGTGGACGCGCCGCAGCATGGCCTCGTTCTCGCCGACGGTGGTCAAGATCAGCTTGCCGCCGCTAGGTTTCAGCGCGGACTGCGCGCAGGCCGCGTACTTGGCCCAGACGTCGCGCGTGATGAACGGCGGATCGACGACGACGCAGTCGAACGCGTGCTCCAGATCCGCGTCGATCTTCTCGCGGTTAAAGTCGAAGAAGCGGAAGCGCGGGTCGCCGTTCCACTGGTCGTCGTAGTCGAAGCAGTAGGACGCCTGGCGCACGGCCGACGCTTCCGGCAGCGAGAAGTAGACGCTCGGCGTCGACAAAAAGGCGACGCGCAGGCCGCAGGCGCCGGACTCGAGCTCGGCGACGAGGGCGGCGAGGGTGCGAGCGCTGTACCAGTACTGGTTCAGCGACGCGACCTCGGGCGTCGCGTCGAGGAAGTCCATCGTCGTGGTGCTTGGCTGCCGCTGTGGCGCGACGCGCGGCGGTGCGACGGCTTGGCCGTCAAAATCGAGCGGCCTTGCCACACTTTTGGCGATGTTGACGGCATCATTGTTACGAGCAGCCCCGGAGGCAGACGGCAGACCCGCGCGCCGCAGCCGCCGCCCTGACCTGCGCGAACGATGGCTCTGCCGCCGCTTCACAAGGCGGCGCGCAACGACGACGTGGCATCGATCAAGTCGCTCATCGCGTCAGGCGTCGACGTGGACGTGCGAGATGCTGCTTTTGGATGTACCGCACTGTATTGGGCCGCCAGCCTTTGTAATCTAGCCGCTGCGGTCGCCTTAATCGACGCCGGTGCTGATGTCAATGCGTTAAACAGGGGTGGTCACTTATCCAGGGGGAGTGGGAATACACCTCTGCATGCGGCTGCTCTGCACGGGCAAACACACATCGCACGCCGGTTGATCGCTGCGGGAGCTGACGTGAATAGGATTGGGGATTACAACAAGAGCGCTGCAAGAATCGTCTTCATATACAGTCCCGCAAATCTCTCCATGCTCAAGCTCCTGCTCCGCTCCGGTGCCACTCTCGATTTCACAGAAGGCATTGTCCGCCTGCCCCGAAACAAAGCCGCGTTCGCGTTGCTCGACTCGGTCGTCGCCGCGGGCGGCTGGGACGATTTCGTGCTCCGCCACCGCGCGATCATCAAGTCCATCGTCTCCAAGTGCGCCCCCCTGCCCGACGACTGCCTCCTCGCCATCGCCGCCTTCGTCTTCCCCCCGGGCGGCTGGTGATCGGCGCGCGCCACCCAACACAGGCTAAAAAGAACACAAAAGAACGCCCCCCTTACCTCGCTGCCGGCGGGACCTCGACGGGGTTGTCGTAGAGGAGGAGGTAGGGGAGCATGGGCGCGCCCTTGGTCTTGCAGCACCGGTCGACGACGTCCTTCCACCCCCGGCACGCCGTCGCCTCGGCCTTGTCGTGCCAGGTCCAGTGGCCGTGCTTGTCCTTGACGAAGGCCGTGTAGTGGTTGTCCTTGAACGTGACCATGGCCACGAGGTGGAGCTTGCGGACCGCGGGCTCCTTGGGCGTCGCGTCCTCGAAGCACCGCCGCGCGTCGAGCGACTTCGCCGCCAGCCCCAACAACGCGCGGACGTCGGCCGCGTCCTGGTCCGTGGAGAACCAGGCCACGGAGAGCACGAGGGCCTTGGCGACCTTGTCGAGGTCGTGGACGACCGCGCACGCGCCCGGCGCGCCGCACGCGTCGCAGCTCTTGCCCGCGTGGCGGTGCGCCTCGCGGTAGACGTCCTCCAAGCTCCTCGCCCGGCCCGTCTTCGCCGCGTGGACGATGGCCGACGCCGTCGCGGACCGCGCGAGCTCGCTGAGCTTGATGGGCTTCTCGCCGTTGGACGCGCCGCACGCGGCGCAGGCCGCCTGCGCGATGCGGCCCTTCGTCCGGAGCACGGCCGCGGGCGACTCGCCCCTGTGCGTGCGCCCGATCTCGTCGACGAGGACCCCGAAGACCTCGGCGACGTCGAGGTGGGCGCCGCCCGTGCCGAGCTCGCGCGCGACGCGCGCGTCCTTGGACCCGTCGGCGAGCGCGGCCCGCAGGTCGTCGATCGCG